CACATGGTCGAGGGATGCGTCTTTTCTCGATGGTGTCCTCTTTTGCATTTTTTTCGAAAGTGTGCACTCAGAAGCATCTTTGTATAACTCTTGTGTTGTCGTGACGCATATTTTTCACAACAAAAATCCATTCCAAAGAGTGAGCTTGCCTCGAAAAATGGCACTGTTCTCTAAACACGACATAGCTGGACCCAAAACCCCAAGAAGTTGTGCGCGAAGACGAGTATATGTGCGTTGAAAGACTTTCTCACTTTCTCACGTGGCTTTGACGTGGCAATCTTGCCAGAAATCATGATGGGCAAAACCTTCACATAGTTACAAAACTCACATAGTTTCGAAGGACGTTCTATGTGAAAGCGGTGCTTCCGCACATGCTGGAAGTTTTCGGCTCGCAAGACAATCTCTTCAGCTAGAGACACATATACCAATGATCAAACCCTTAACCACGCATGCGTGAACCCCACGACGTAGCCACTCGGCCACGCTGCTACGATCGCATGAGCCTTACCCCTAATTTGTCCCTCTAAAGAGCTCCGTAACTTTTTTTTGGGAGGTCCGCAGCAGATATGGAAGACGGTTTCGTAATCCCCGTCCGAAGACCTTTCAGCCGGTATACATTTCATTTCAAATGGCCACTTCGACCTACCATCCCTCCCTTGATAGTGAACCCCGGACTGAAAGTGAAAGCGGGCTGGTACATCGAACAGCTTGAGGAGATTAGCCTGCCTTCATGTTGTCGCCTGTAACGTCTTGAGAAATTCGTACTGCTGGCGGGATTGGATGCCAGCACATAAAATCAAAGAGCGTTGGAAAAACTCTCGCTTACTTGGAATCGAGGGGCATTGGGTACCCGGAGAGAATATCTGAGTGTGTCACCTGAATCAACCCTCCCGATCCCGGTTCCGGGTTCGGGAGGAGCTCAACAGACCGCTCTACAGTGACAGAGAAATCAACGACCTAGCTGTATTCAGACACCGAATCAAGGTCCCTAGCAGAATCTCTCGATGGCTTTCATCCAGAAGGCTCCGTTCCGTGACCATGTGCAATGCGTTGTTGAGTTTGTTGGTGGAAATGTTCAGTCAGAATTTAATAAAGTGTAACTTATATCGCCTTGAAAGGTTTTCTGGCTCCTCCTTGTACAATCATCAATCATCACGTTGAGGAAAACCAGAACGTCGACATGACTCCCCTCTCCCTCTATGCGATTACTTGACTGATTTTGATACTGAGAACGACGTAATTTCATATGCGGTTTTGTTTCAGTTGCGCCATTTTAGCGTTGGAGCGCGCTGTCGCATCCTGCTGTCGCATCCTATGCTAGTACCACTAAACCATGAAGATTTTTCGGAAGATTTCATTTTCCATCAGAAACAACATTCTGCCAAGCTGTGCACGGAATCTATGGTTTTGGGGAGCTTCTATCAGATAGGTACTAGGGTGATCACTAAATAGGTATTACCCCTCCAAATAGCGACAAAAATTTCTACAAAACGCGAGTTTTCAACTTGTCTGGGCCACAACTTGGGTTATGCAGGATCCAAGAGAAAATTAAAATCAGTGCGGAAAAGAAGAAGATTTTTCTTCTTACTGACATCAAAATCTTTCGGAAAAGTTCATCTTCAAAAAAACGCCGTTGTTCAGGAGGCCACAGCTCGTTCATACACAAATTTTGATAGATGTCCAGGAAATAGAAGGAACTGCTGATTTGCGCTTCTTAGTATGCATTAGTACAATTAAGGACAATCGCGGTTGGCGCGAAAGCACCGCTTAGGACGATTGCGTTTTATCTCTTGCGTCCGCTACGAGCCACCCGTTGCTCATGCTGTCCCCCACTTTTTCGGCTCTCTGTGGATTTTTGCAAATTGATTGAGCTATTCTGCACGGAATGCTATTCCTACCACCCCTTATCACATTGGATATCATCTCGAGCACGTCCTCTACCATCACGCCCACTTCACAGCGCGATCATGGTTCTTCAGATTTCACTTGTGCTTCTGTGGCCTCCTTGCATTTTTGCTTTTTCAAACATATACAGTAAACTATAGACGCCTCTACTGAGACACAGACGAATTCGCCCACTTTTAACAAGTTTGTTGTAAGCTTCGAATTTTTACAATATTTTGAAACGTCGCCGCTTTCGAACCCCTTCTTCACAATTTGGATGTACTCAGAGAAACACTTACACAATGATACACCTCAAGTTCCGCCCACTTAGCCACGCCCACGTCGGAGTTAGCCAGAATTTTGATCTTTTTTTCGTTACTACTTACCCATCTTTTCAAGTTCATCAAATAACCACGTCTGTTAGGCTCTTCACACACTTCGAACAATTGCTAATATCATATCATCAATTGATATCATAATCGCCCTGTTTCCCCTCACCAGAGGTGAAGTGCGCGCTGTCAGCACGTGCCCACCTACAAATATAAGACGAGCACTCTAAACAGTGCTGCGGGGATATAGATTGTTTCAAAATGCAGTAGTTAGATGATGTTACAACAATCATAACAGGACCAGTCGGATCACCCGGCTGTCGCCGGGTGCTCCTCCTTCTTTCACGGCCCGGCTTCGCCGGGCCGGCCTGGCTTCGCCAGGCACTCTTTCTTTAGGCGAGGTAGAGTGTGCAAAATACGCCAAACCGTCACAGTTCATTTTCCAGCAAAATGTAGAAAAATAGTTGAAAATAGCTCGAGCAATGGGTTAAAGTTGGATCAGCGAGTCGAAGTTGAAGTTGAACCGGCGCTATGATATTCGTGTCAAAGAGTTAGACGCACACGCACGGACATAGCCGATTATATATGGTAGGATTGTAACCGTTGTCCCAATGTAGCGCTGAAATCTATCCTTTGGTCCACTCTTTTCTCGGAGTTAGTACCAAAAATCTCCATAACCCTCACACGAAAATTCAGCAACCTGTTAGAGCAGCCTTTGAAGCATCCTACCGCTTGATGCGTTCTCCACTACTGCAGGTTTCTTTTTCTGGAATGCACTCCCGCATTCGGGCAGTTTAACGCTTCGAATGGTCCTCTCTCAGATTGTTGATGAAAGATAGTCATAGTGATAAAGCCAGTTGCTGCAGTTCATGGCAACTGAGTAAACAACCGCCATGCATCTGAACTCCAGTTGCTTTAGCGGCCGTACATGATGTCAATAACGATAAAGCCCAGGAGTGAGTTGTGTGCGAACTACTGGGAGCCTGATACCTGGATCATATCAATCGCATAGTGGATGTAAGCGGTGTTGCGGATTTCCGCATGATGAGGTTTTCATTTCTTATCAGTCACTTCGTCTCACCCGTCAGTGGGTGTCCGCCCCTCCCCTATACCACTTCTTGGAGCCAAGGTCCCACAGACCCTGCAACCTGCCCTACGAATTTGGTGGCCCTCCGCATCTAAGGTCCCTTATCAAATCTTATCATATGTTATTAGATTTTGTCACCCACCCCGTCCCTCCTGTATACCATCTCGGAACCACGGTCTCAATTCACTGCAGCCGATGTTAGGAATTGGGTGACCCTCCGCGTCTAAGGTCCCCTTATCAAATCTTATCAGGTGTTATCAGCTTCTGTCACACACCAATCATGTCCACCCCCTTTCCCCTACACCACTTCTCGAAATCAATGTCCCACGGTTGCTGCAACCTGCGCTAAGAATTTGGTGACCCGCGTCTAGGGTCCCTTATCGGATCTTATCAGATGTTATCAGCTCCTGTCAGCCCCCCATCTACGGCATATCACTGCTTGAAACCAAGGTCCCGCAGCTGCTGCAACTTGCCACGAATTCGGTCACCCTCCCCTTTTAAGGCCCCTTATCGAATCTTATCAAGTGTTATCACCTCCTGTCACCCACCAAAAGTGTTCCTGTCCCAACCACTATATCATATCTTGGAATTAACTTCCTAACGCTACTGGGACGGCGCTATGAATTTCGTGACACACACACACACACACACACACACACTTAGCGGATTATATACAGGGGGGGGGGGCAAAAAAAGTCATTCCGGCCGAGTCACATATGAGCGAAGTTTTCGCAGCCCAGACAGAGGAAGTGGATATGAGTACCAGGGCGGAAGATACCCCCTTCCGGCCACCTAACGTCCGCTCCACGTGCTCACCACTCGCCCGGTCCAGGACATCATCTTCACCCCATTCACCAAGGCGCGGGTTGATGGTGTGGACCGGCCGTACCTGGAATGGATGAACCGATATTTTCTTCGTGGGCCCCAGACTGAGGGTGTGCGCTGGTGGCTACATCGAGCAACTCGAGGAGAATATCCCATCTTCATGTCGTCGCCCGTACCTTCTTGGAAACTTTGTACTGCTACAGGATTGGGTGACAACACATTTAATCGAAGGGCGTTGGAAAAACTTTCGCCTACTTGGAATGGAAGAACGTTGAGTACCTGGAAAAGATGGAGTATTTAAGCGGGGGTCCTGAACTAAACCCCCTCAATTACTCGGTTCGGGCGGAGCTCAACAGGGTGGTCTACAGTGGCGGAGAAATCAACGATCTCGCTCAACTCCGGTACCCACTCACTTTCGCGCGGCCGAATCTCTCGATGGCGCTCCTCCAGAAGGCTGTGGCGGAGTATCATTATAGTATTTAATGTGCTCTTTAATATGGTAGTAAAAATGTCCGATAAAAATTTAATAAAGTGTAACTTATAGCGCCTTGAAAGTCATGGAGGCAAAATGACTTTTTTTTGCCCCCCCCCTCCGTATAGTAGGATGGAATGATACTGCCAATCCGATTGGTGTAGCAATTAGTCAGTGTTCGATTCGCCCTTTCGTGACCCTCTTAACTCTTTTCCCGCAGTCTCAAATAATTTGATTCCATTATGAAGCAGTGGGTCACATCATACTGAACCATTCCGTCAGAGAGCGCTGAACTTCTACTAACATCATTGATCCCTGCCATCCAATCAACAGAGTCACTCGGTTTATCCTGGACTAGCCTAGTTACGACCTATGTCCTGAAGTTGGTGAATGGCACACTCACCTCGAATCTTGGCTTCCACCTCCATTCTCATTGCCATGTACCGCATATCTGACAGTGAGAGGCCTTCCACGGCCTCAGTAGCTGTCGAAGGACCATAACTAGATTTCAAGAACCCGTGCAGTAGCCGAAGATTTTGCACCTGAACTTGCTGCTCTTGAGCATATTCTATCAATTTACAGAGCTCTGATCACACCCACGATTCGCCTACGAAATATATTAGGGTGGAAAGAAATTCCGTGCGACACTTTGACCAAAATTTTCGAACCAAATTTTCCTTCACTAAAGACACCTCCAATCTACAAGGTAATCACCATTAATGACTAGGACTAGTGCCCACCTTTTGCACAGCTTCTCATTTCCCACTCTCATAGAACTACGGTAACTACGATTGAAGAAGAGGCAAACCTCCTTTCCAAGTAGACGCCATTTCCGGAATTTTTGCTTTCTGAAGGATGCGGTAGGGATCAAAGAAGGTGGTAATTAGAGGCTGCTAGCTTTGGTAAATAAGCTGGGCACAGTCGCATTCCCCGATTTGGATCATGATCTTTTGGCGCAGCGTGATCCTCACGTGTGGTCTTCGCCAAGTATTACAAAGAAAGTGAGTGTTTCTGAACGAATCTAAGCATTATCCATGCTGACCCATGTTTTGCTGTTGATTATTGTAGACTGTGGCCATCGTTGCTGTATTAGTACCCAGCAGCATCGTTATAAAACCCACTGATAACACAGTGAAACTTTTATTCCATGCACATCTGCTTTTGGCTAGGCAATCTACTATACACTTCGAGTGATCCTGTGAAGAATGTGTGCATAGTTTACGCAAGGACTCCAACACTTGCTACACAACCTCAAGTTCTCACAAAAGTTCTTCCAGTGTGTACAAGGAAGAGAAGACCAGTTACGACCATTCAGTGCGCTTGATCAGACTGGTGTAACTCATCTGTCACTTGGTTGCAGCCTAGAGAGGTTGCCAACTTAATGGTAGTTAAGTTTGGGTGCAGGTTGAGCAAACGGCCGTCATTCTGTGCTAATGGCCGACCTATACGTTGCCTGCGTTCAAATTTGATAACTCCAGCTTGCAAGCGCTGATACAAAGCAGGACACTCTGCTATGGCAAGCGACATCCTTCCTGAATACAACGCATGTTAGCTCCCTCGACTACGACGGGGTGACCCTACAAGAACTCATAGTATGAGATAGGTCAAAAAAAGTAGTCTGACCTTTGGAGGACTTTCAGACTCTGAAAGCCTCCACAAAGTCATAATATACCCGTCTGCAAAAACCTCAGAGAACACTCTCCACTAATCAGAGGTGAAAACATTCAAAATGCTTTCGGTCTTTTTTTTCTAAAACAATTTGATCAAAGTGTCGCGGGACTTCTCTCCGACCTCATGATGTGCATCAAGAACATAATCATAACTCTATGCATCATAATAAACAAATGAGCCACTACATGTAGAATATCTAAGTTATCACAGAACGCACTATGACATTCAATAACGCACATGCAGTGCTCAGACGGCACCAACCTAGACTAATCTGAACGCATTCTAAAGGTAGGTCTCTTATATTATGAGAAGCAAACTGAATGCAGCTGAAAGATGAATGGAACAATAAGTGGCACTCCTCACAAAAAAACTTCCTGACTTCTGAACTAGACGTGTATTTGACGGTAATGCTGCAGAAAGACACAATACCATCTTGAGCGATCACTATTACAGACTTATATGTAATACTCATGTAGTTATGTCCGTTCCTCCAGGTGGGGCCACTGGGAACTGCTCTTTGTAGGGTAGGAAGGGAAAGATGGTACGTCGAAGTGGCCGTTTGAAATGAAGTGCATACTGACTGAAAGGCTTTCGGACGAAGATTATGAAACCGTCTCTCATCTGCTGAAAACTTTCCAGAAAAAAATACGGAGCTTTTTAGGGGGAGTTAACTGGCATTCAATGCGAATTAGCGGCCCAAAGCTTTCATGGTCAAGCACCGTTCACGAATGGATATGTCGTAGGCCTCACGAACACATGGTTGAGGATTTGAATCCTTGGTGCGTGTGCTTTTTTACATTTTTTCTACAGTGGCGTCTGTGCACTCGAAAGAATTTTCGCATAACTCTTGGCTCGATAATGTTGAGTGGACCATTGAGAACGTTCTCAGCTGTTGAATTTGTCACAGAACGGAGAGCCGGACTTCCAGCAGATGCGAAAGCACCACTGGGGGAAAGAACATCTTTCAGAACTGTGTGAGTGATAGTTAATTCCTTTGCCCCTCATGACTCCTGGCGAGAATGTCTTGTCAAACCCGCCACGTAAGAAAGCCTTCCGAAGTACATTCACCTTTGCGCGCAACTTCGTGCGGTCTCGGAATCGTTTTCCAGTCATGTCGTTTGTGTAATAAAGTTATTTTTCAGAGCAAACTCATTCGCTGGAATGCTTTTTGTTGTGAAAAATATGCTTCCTCACTTCAATAAAAGAAGAAGTCAACAGCCAAAGAATGTTCTCCGTAGAATCGTCCACAACGGTTCGGTTCATTAGTACAGAAACATTACGTTACGACATTATCATGCACAAGAGTTACGCAAAAACGCGTTCGAGTGCACAGATACTACTTTCCAAAAATGCAAAAGAGCACACACACCGAAGATCCAAACCCCTAACCATGCATTCGTGAACCCTAGGACGTAGCTACTCGGCTACGCTGCTACGGTAGCATGAGCCTTATGCCACTAATTCGTATGAATGCAAGTGCACTCCCCTCTAAAAAGCTCCGTTTTTTTCCTGGGGAGTCCGCAACAGATATGGAAGACGGTTTCGTAGTCTCCATCCGAAGACCTTTCAGTCAGTGTAGGTTTCTTTTCAAACGGCCACTTCGACCTAGCATCCTTCCCTTGTTAGCCGAACGCAGACACTCGAGTGCAGGTAATAGGCCTTCGCGACGGATCGACCTCGAACACCCATGTCACATTACAATTTGACAAGGCCACATGATTCCCGAAATATGCTACGGCGTCCGCGAGAGCCGAGATGCGGTCTCAAGAAAACTAAGGGGTGTGGCGACTGAAAGAGAGAGGGGGGGGGAGCAGTGATTTCTCGCATCCAATTAACGAAGGACAGGAGTGTCGAGGAAACCGGGAATGAAGCCGCTGAATTGATAATCAAGGTCGCTCGTTCGGAACTTGGCACAACTAGGCTCGGGCGCGATAAAAGTGAGAAGCAGACTAGCTGTGTACGGACAACGTCGCAGCGAATCTCCACGAGAAGAAGAGACTCCATCACGTGTGGCAACAAGTCGACCGACAACTGGCCGAAGTAGGGGGAAGCGAGGAGTGCGGCAAAGAAGCCGGCCGCTGCAATAAAAAGCCATTTCGGTTTATTTCGACGATGCCACTAAGAAACTGGAGACGCACTACGATGAAGGCACCTTTACCAACTTGCCAAAGCTCGTAACCGCCAAACCGAGAACATAGAAAACCTTTTCGGCAGCGGGGACGGGAACGGCTCTCTTCTGTTGAACCGAAAGATGGGACTGCAGCGTTGGTGCGACTATCGAGAGAATCTCAGCAGTAGAATTCACCCACCCGGCTATCCTGTGTCGCAGCAATATACTATCCCGTTCGGAAGATATCCGTTGAGGCAACGGAGGCAGCTCTAAAGAGGATGAAGGCAGGTAAGCTACAGTCTGCGACGACTTGGCAGCTGACTTCATTAAGTAACAGCACTGTATTCCACAGAATGCTTGACAAAGCTCTTCATCCAGATCGCGGAGAAGATGGTGCCCGAGTGCTGGCAGCAGAGCACGTCAATTCCGATTTGGAAGAAGAAAGGCAGCTCAGCAGGCTACTAACGTCCGATCCGCCTACTCTCGCAATGCATGAGAATCTTTGAGCGAATTGTTGACGATCGTATCCGTGACATCGTTCATCTTTCTATTGCACACAGTGTGTGATACTATTAAGCTGGTAGCCAAGATTGTTATATACTTTTACGTTGACGTTTCGGCCTCGTCGCCTTCTTCGGAACCTGGAAAGTCGGAGCATTCAGGATACCCTTCTTCAAACACTCGGAGCATTCAGGAAACCCTTCGTTCAAACACTATTTCAACCTACAGGAAAACTCCAAAAGGGATGTAAACTACTAAGACGACGTCATAGAGCCCTAATAAACTGACCTTTAAGCAGTCGAACCACGGAGGTCCACCTGTCACCCCAAGCTGGTAATAATGCGGTTTAAATAGGGTAACCCTCGGGACCACTTGCTCAAGGGGCCTCTAAAGGGTCGATCACGTAGATCAAACAACTCTAAAGGCCACCATTGAGTACCTGCGCCGCGACCCGCAATTAACCCCTCCTATCGATTACTGTATAAGCCCCCGACCTCACCGCCAGGACCCCGCGGGGGATTGACCGCGTAGGTCAAAACCCACAGAGGTCCGCGAAGGGTGCGAGCTCTGCAGTGACCGCCACACACTCTTCCCTCCTGTTGATCTTAGGGGTCTTGGACGTGATCCAAAAGGCTCCAACGTTCATGTCATAATATCGTGACTGCCACTTCAAAACAGTCCCGTGATACCGTACCCTGTGCTCTCCCAGTGGGGACGCAACTTTAGACTTCCGCATGCCATCCAGGTGTTCCTTGATGCGAACGCCCTTCTTGCACTGCTGACACGATATCAAATACACCACCCCCGATGTCATGCAGTCCCCTTCCTTTCCAAATGGACATATGACACAGGAAGTCGTTGTGCAGAGACGGTCATAAATTCGATTTCGAACCAATTCGCTTTCTCAGGTTTGTGGGTGGGATATCCACTACCCTCATGGCGTCTTGGAGACCGGCCCTTTTTGCACAAACGCGAATAGCCGCACTGAATTCGTCTGATATAAACGGGATACAGAATGGAACTTTTGTTCGCTCCTCTTCGAGACGATTTTGTGCGACCTCCCACTGTGCTCGCCTGACAGGGATTTCTGGTGTCCTATATCCATTCTCCTGTGCTATTCGAAGTGGCCACTCCTTACTCGATTGCGGCCTGGTATTTGCAAGACTT